CAGGAATCTGCGCGGGGTGTCTGGATGAGCCACCATGATCGACGCTTAAGGAAGGGGAGGAGGTGTATTGGTGGCAGTGCTGGTGCAGAGTGGGTCCTCCAGGAGCCTCTGAGGCCCTGGGCCCAAATCAGGGCCACCACCCATACCTCCCGACATCCCTGCCAGCCCACCCGTCAGAGGGCCGGCGCCGCTGTACAGTTTGCCATTGCTGAGACGCATCTCACGGACCAGACGGATGGGACGAGGTCCCGTCAGAGCCAGGCGGGATGGGTGACGCAGGACTCCACCCCCAGTGCTGCTTAGAGTGCGGCGGCGACGAGAGCGGGAACTCTTCTTACAGGAGACGGCGTTGCGAAACTCCGTCAGCATCTCCTGACAGACAGACACCTGAGAGAAACAGAGACAGACCGACTGACAGGAACAGGACTCCCTACAGCTTTAGTGTCCGAAAGAAATCTGTTTGTCTTTGTGGTATCTTTTTACCTAAAACACTGACTTATTTATCTGTTTTGTTCCTTTTCTTATTGCTAATGTTATGTGTGCTTATTGGTAAATGACGACATCCTGTTCAGTTTATTTACTCTCTCTAATGCATCTTTATGCTAAAAGCCCTGCTGCATCAGGAGTAACAGAACCGAACCGAGCTGAACTGTTGAACGCTACAGACATGTTGGAAATACTGGACCTGGATGTGGTCAAGTCAATAAACACACTGAAATTTGAAAATGTGAGTGTGTTTACATATGACCGAGGGGAGAGCGAGTGAATCTGTGAGCGAGCAACACGTTCAGCTGTGGCTGCCTTTATCTGAGTGTGTTAATACTCTGCCGCGTCCCACCTCCACCCAGCACTATCTGGAAATATGTTTGTGTATTTGCCCTATAATCTGCACCGTCAGCCAGTGCAGAAAGTCAAATAAACGACAGATAAACGAAGAGCAAATGAAAGTCAGACACAAATTGTATCTGCAGAAGACGAATGAACGAACACAACGGTAAGAGCTGGAAGATGGACATGGAGAGAGAGAGAGAGAGACCACAGCTGCCTGTCTGTATAAACCAGTGTGTTTCAGGTCCACAGAACAGCTTCTCTTTCAAGCCACACTGCTCAGTTTGTTTACATTAAGACCATGCAGTGGATAGCAAAGCTACTTGGCAATATTTAATGAGCACGCCTCAATTTGTTTGTGCTGTAGCTAGTTCAGTAACATAACCAGCACATTGTGTGACTTTGGAAATATGAGGTTTCATCTGAGATATTTCACTTGAATAGCAAACATGACAGTAAAGTTCTCTTATTGATCAAACTCTACGGATACTGTACATAAATATCACATTTTCAAATGGGTCTTTTAGAACACAAAGATTTTACACTGACAGTTTTAAACTATGTGAGCTTATTTTTCTCCCCAGATCACGTCTGATTATTTAACACGATAGTTAGACTGCAGGGTTGCTCGCAGTGTGTTTGGTGAGAAACAGCAAATGGTCATTCTGGTGTTTCCACCTGGCTGCACTGTTGTCATGGGTCCAAGGATACACCTGGAATCGGTGAATGCAGATTTAAGGAAACAGTGGCCTTTTACCCAGGTGAGGCTAGAAGGCTACAAGCACAGGAGTCAGGGTTTTGTATGGCTGCACCGCCCCATGTACTATGTGTCAATTTCTACATATATTTCCTAGTTCCAGCTGTGCATCTTCTGAGACTCCACTAGAATCAGTGAGTTTGGAGAAAGACAAGCAGCAACATGATTTTAATCCAGGATCCATTCAGCAGGGTCAAAATGTGGCTTCCTTAATGAAACACGTTATGGATTACACTGCACACAGCATCACATGAAACAACAGACACACAGGCGGGTGACCTACTGAGGAGTCTGAGCTGAGGCTGAGGCCGGGGGCAGGGCGGGAGGAGGAGGACGAGGGAGGAAGAAGATGAGGAGGAGGGAGCTTTACCTCGTCCGTCTCAGCGGTGCGGCGTGTGGACCACACAAACTCCATAACGGCCACGAAGACAGCAATGATGAGGCCGCAGATCAGGACCACAAAGATCCCACCAATGTTCTCCATGCCGAGACCTGAAGCGCACACATTGGCAGTGATGCACAAAGATAAATAAAAACAAAATGTGTTGATTTAAGTCAGTTCCTCTTTGTCTCAGCTCAGGCTTAAACCTTAACATGACGGTGATCAACACTTTTCTTTCCATTGTACATCTAACATGTTTGAATGCTGAAAGGCATTCTGGGAAATGTAGGGAATCACCTCAGCAAACTGAAGTGGCCAAGGCAGGTAGAAGGAAACGTGGATCCACTGTTTTTGTTTGATCAGTAGCTCTGACTAAAGCCTTTACTGACAGTCTGTCAGGAGGGAAGTTCTGCCTGTTCACACTGGTCCTGCATTAATGCAGCACATCTGGCACATCCCCAGCGTCTGGTAGTCGGAGGACAGAGCGGCATTTCCTACATGCTGATGATACAGCTGTTAGGGCGACCCTGAGCTGTCAGTCTGCTTCTAGTCCCCACTGGTTTAATGTCTCTTTAACTCCATAAAACAGAGAGAAACGCAAAAAAGAAAAGAAAGAAACATCAAAACACAGTGGCTGCTCGTTAGTACGACATGAGCCGAAAACAGCTGCAACATGGTTTGAGAGAAAAGTTGAAAATTTGGAGGATTTCCCTGACACTATCTTCCTATCTTTGTGAGGACATGTGGAGCAGAGCAACAGTAAAACAAACATATTGTGTAATCAGCAACAAAGAGACATTTGATTAGCTTTAATGGGTCTTTAGGGACCTTAATGGCTTGATTTTCTCAGGCTTTCCACCCACACACAGACACACACTCAGATCATTTTGCTGTATAACACTGTTTTCCTGCTCTACAACGAAGAAAGTTCTGAGAACAGATGACAGGAGCAGCAGATCGATTCCCACCGCGATGCATTGCTAAGAACATGATCTAAGAAAGGAAGTCGATGAAGAGGAACTGGCTCGTCTTGTTACAGAGACGCGTCAGACAAAACAGCATTCATGTGGGTCGGTAATGGAAACATCGTAATCAATTCAGAAAGAAAGAAGGAGAGTTGATGGATGGAGACAACAGACAGGCACAGACAGAAGAACAAGAGGCTGGATGATGCAATGATCAGACTGAAATATCTCAGCAGCTATTTGACTGATGGCTGTGAAATCCTGATCAAACATTCACACCCCACTGGTATTTCATCCAGCATCATCCTCAGATCAGACTCTATGTTAGTCCAGATCTTTGGTTAATACCCACATGCACATCCAGGTTAGTAACTGTGAACAGTACAGTAACAGGGGTTTCCTTTATAGGAACCTACAGAAACGCGTTACGCCAAGTAACGATCATCATGGGTTCAAGTTTGTTTCCACTACACTCGGCCCACTTTGGAGGTGCATTCTGGGAGCTAAATTCCAGCCCCCCTTAAGAGGTAGTAGTAAAATCAAGTGCCAGGAATGTGAGGGAGTGCGTGTGTGCAGAGCAGTCAACAGCGATTGGTTAAATGTTTGTGTCTTCACACATCAAACATTAGCATTACAGGCAGTGTGTGTAAACACACAGCTGACTGTGTTTGGGGAGCAGCCCCTCCCTCCTCCGACAGACAGAAAATACAGTGGAGAAACAAACAGGCCGATCGGCGTCAACCCCGGAGGCTATGCTCAGTAATGATAGAGGGAAGCGCACCGCTCGTCAGGTTCCCATCGTGTAACTGTAAATGAAAAGTATGACCTTTTGGAAAATATGCTGATTTGCCTTGTTGCCACCAGTCGGATGAGAAGATCACTACCACTTGGTTCAGTACAAAGACTCTCCTGAATTGTAAAGAGTGGTGCTGTAACACCCACCTTTGGCTCGGTGGTCCTCCTCTTTGGGACACTGGCCTCCCTCCCACCAGCGTCTCTTCAGGATCTCCAGCCGGTTGCTCTCCTGCAGCTGCAGAATCCCCAGACTGATCTCATCTCTGTACGGAGAGCCTGAGGACGGAGGAGACATGCTGAGTCAGTCAGGGTCAACACCACAAGCTTCAAACCACTGTGAGAATCTCAAAACATTTTAGACTTTGCCTCCAAGAGGAAACGCTGATATGCATGTCAGGACACCGAGCCTATAAAAAATCAATGGATCCAGACAGGATTTAAAGAACAGCCCGGCAGGTCCGCTGAGTTATTTCTGACACATGGCCATAGTGAGTCTGAATTACATTACACTGGTACTTGTGATTAATGTTTTCCTCTATCCAGCTTCATCATTCCCTCGTCCCGTCATCCTCACCGCCCATTCATCTTCTATTCCATTAAACACAGTGAGGCTGACTTTGACAGACAGCAGGAAGTGTGTGGGTGTTTCTCAGGAGATCACTGAAGTTAATGGAAGTCTTTGGCTAAATTATGACACTTTTACTGGGCTGACATATTTTACAGATACAGAATGATTCAGTTTTCACCTCCTGACCACACTTCCTTATCTTAACAAATCTGATAAATACCTTCCATAAAAACTCTTCCACCACATTAACACCAGACTGGATGGATACTGCCTTTAGGCTTGTTGTACTTTACATCAGGGGTTTCTTTCCCTCTTAAGACATCATTTTCTTTCTCTTAGACTTATCTTTGTAGTTTTTTAGGAAACTCTACTATGCAAATTCAGCTAAGCATACTTTCATTCTTTAATAGTGTTACATACTTTTACTGCGTTGCAGTATTGCTGATTTAACTCATTCATAAAAGACGTGACTACTTCTTCCACCACCAGTGAACAACTCATGCCTCTGTTGTCCAGTGACCACTGGTGTGTATGATACAATCGCATCATCTGTACTGCAGAGGGTGGACAGTGGCAGTTATGTTCATATTACCTTTCCTCAAGGCCGGGGTCATTATTCTACTAGGCTGAATTATCTCCACAATGAACCAGACCACCTTCATCTGCTAACTGTGATTAACCCAAACACCTCTTCTTCCACTGCCAGTTTAAACATGAGCTCCTGCTGCACTAATGGCACCGGCACTTGAGATCACAACACGTAAAGCAGCTGGTGATGGAACTATAGCTGTGCTTAACCTCACGGGGAAATGACTGGAGATGCAATAAGTTGGTTTCTTTAAATTAAATCCAACCAAACCTTAACTGTACGAGGCTGCAGATCAGAAAACAAGGACATATTCTGGGTATGTCCGAGAGACCCAGAGCACCCCGGAGAGATGTGGTGTGGCACGGGAATGCCTGTGGATCCATCTCAGATGATTGGATCCAAATGAGCTCTCAGCTCCCAGAACACAGACACCAAAATGATCATTTCGTTTTAAAACGGCAACGTCTCACTTTTCATTCTGAAGCTGATACTAACCACTCAGCACAGTTGGGAGACAAAATCAGTGCCGGGCATCTGGGAGACTCTGCCTCACTTAAGAGGCAGAGTGACTGACGGGCCAGTCTCCCAAAAACTCTTCATCTCCCTGCTGTTCCCTCTCCTCTGTCCACATCTGTTCATCCTTTCTCCATTAGCTATGCTAATCTATGCACTACCACTTATCAGCAGAAACAAGTCGGAGGCAGCTGACAAGGTGAGGCCAGACGCCAGCAAAAGCAGCCCAATGCCAAATTGGAATCAGGATTCCTTTAATTTGCCAAGGACGGCAGCTGCACAAAGAATATGACCTGGTTAACGGCTAAAACAGAATGTCATGTTTATACCCATTGGTCACAGGCACTGCAGCAGGTGAGAAGCAGGCGTCCATCTGCCATCATATAGCCTCTAGCCTTCGTCCTAGATGAACTGGCTGCCGTGGCAGAGCCGGCAGATGCAGCAGGCTCTCAGGGACCACACACCACTGTGCTCGAGTCAGGAGAAACCTTTTGTGTGGGGAAACTCTGCTGAAGCTGCCAGTAGCTTCTGGAGACCAACAGACTGAATACAACAGACTAGCCAGCGTCAAACGAAAAACTGCTGGGTTTTTGTTTTCACTGAAATGTGGCTGCATGGCAACATTCAGGACATGGCCGTCCAGCTGGCTCCCTCGCTCCTGAAACCACGGGGAATCACCACTGCCCAGGGAAACGGTGTTCATGTTAACAAGGAAAGGTGCATGGATGCGGTGGTTGTGTCCAAGCTCTGCTCTCCACTGGCAACTACAAACTGATGTGGAGTTGACAAAAACCTCTGAAATAACAGAGCCATCTCCACATACATAAACATACTCAGCTGCGTCTAACTCAGGGTCACCACACAGGCTCTGTGACTAAATAGATCCAGACCCGGCTCCCCTCTCACTGTGGCAGGTGACTCAGATGATCCCTGCAGCCAACCTGAAGAACCGGGCTGAAGTAAGTTTCGGCCCTGCCGTCCACTCACCCAGAGGCATGCCAATGCCGTATCCTTTGGTGTCCAGCAGGCCCCCGATCTGCGTGAGGTTGCAGTTGAGGCTACGGTAGTACTCGTTCATGGTGCTCTCCATCAGGAAGGCGTACTTAGAGTTGAGGACCCGGGCGATGCCCTCCTCTGTGCTTTTCACAAACACACTGGGCTGTTTGGAGTTCATGTAGTTCCACATCCGCTGGTACGTCTGGTACCGCGAGTTCTGGAGGGTGAGGAAGACAGGGGGGTGGGGGGGGGCAACAACCCTCAGGTTAGGCACAGTTTGGAACACAAACATGACTTTAAACTGATTTTGAGATGCATTTAGAGTGACCCCGCCCACAGTATCACGTCACACTGACGAGGGTTGTGGTCTGTGCTTTTAAAGTCAGGGGACTTTACTTATGCATATAAGATAGTTTCTGGGCACAGCGGAGCCCTGTGGCTTAGAGGATGGAGAGAAATCAGGTTGCAACAGACACACAAGGATGCGTCACTGGGAGACGGTCACTGTCAGTTTGAGTCTACACAGGGGATTTGCTGTGTACACAGTATAAACATGTTGTGTATCACTTCTGTTTATCTGTGACAGAGGACGCCTGCAAACATGTGGTGTTGTCAAACAAACCCAAACATTACAATGATACCGTAAGTTTTCTTTATTGGTTTTACAGTATGATGTTAGTTTTTATTTTATTTTCATTTTATTAATTTTTTCGTCCTTTATTCTGGTCCTCCTACTTGTTTTATTCTGGAGGACATTACAATAAGACTGTTATTAATATAAATCATGGCAAAGCAGCACATCCTGTGTTTGCCACATTGGCTTCCTAAATGACAACCATCCGTGTTTCTGATAATCGACTTGTGATTGTTTCACCACAAACCAACATAGAGCAGGTGAAACAAAAAGATCAGTAATGTCTCACTATGAAGAAGGACATGGTGGACCCTCCGTGGATGGTGCCGTACTGGATGTTGGTTTGGTCGGCCAGATCATCCGGAGACTCGATGGGAGCCTCCATCCTCTGGACGGTGAGAAAAGCTGCCAGGTTGGCCGTGTAGGACGAGATGATGATGAGGGTGAATGCCCACCTGACAGGACAAAGAAGGAGACAAGAGGAAGAGCTTTAACTTTTATTTACCCTGAGAAACTTTCAAACCCTCACTCTTTCTCTTCTGTTCTTTTCAAGTGAGCGGAAGGCAGGAGAGACAGATGGAGGGCTCTGCAGGAAACATCAGGAGCTTCAGGTAGAAGTCATCAACCCAGACGTAACCCCAGGCTGCAGCAGAGAGGAGCGGGACACCTCTGCTGCAGAGGAAATGAGACTGAGGTGATGAGCAAGGGAAATAAGACAGAATGAGAGAGACGGAGGTTATCCTCATTGTCCCTGTCACATAGATTCACTTTAAAACTACACCATGAACATACAGCATCTATACACCACATATTGTTATCAAAAGAGCAGCCTGACATCTACTTTATCACTGTCGGATGTGTGGATGGATATTAATTACAGTATTAGCTGCAGGATGTAGTTAGTCTGGTTTAGCAGGTCCTGGTTTTAGCTTGGACTTTGTCAGGGTTTAACAAAAACCCATGGACACTGATTCACAGTTGAGCAAAGCTGCTGCTCAGATTCTTTTGTTGTCAGGGTCAGTATTTGTCTGCTGCTCTGTCACCAATGGAGTAAACCGTTCTCTCCTCTCCCTGTGTCAGTACGGCTGCAGCCTAATTTCCACTCCTTCCTTTCCCTCTGACTAAGTGTGCAGCCCCCGGCCAACAAGCCCTCAGACAGACAGACATCAGTGTGTGGCAGTTTGTGCCACAGTCATTATGAGGTTTTATGGGCCCAAGTGCCAGGTGAGCCCGAGAGCTGTCAGAGAAAAGATGGTGATGGCCGCTCCAGTCCCCCCAGTAGCAGTCCACCATCTGTCTGGCGGCAGCTACTGGGACTGAGGGAGGAAGGGGGAGGAGAGGAAAACAGGAGGAGCAGGAAGGAAAAGACAGGACAGATTGTGGTGAGTGATTGTAATCCACAGCCAGCAGGAGGACGGAGGTTTGGTTTGAATGCTGTTGGAGTAAATATTTGTAGATTGTTGTTCAAACGTGGACGTTTGTCTCTTTGTAAGAGCAGCACTGTAGTGGATGTGGCTGCTGCTTACACTGCCCGGCATGAGAGTAAACACGGGAACTAGTGGAAACACTGGGAACTAAAATGGGAAATACAACATAATAGACAAATATAACAGGCTATAGGGGATAAAATAAAAAAACTAATAATTAATATACATCTACAAACAAAAACAAAACAATAACAAAAGAACAATAAAAACATTTTATTATTTAGAAAATACTATGAAATCCTGTAAAAAAGAAGAGGTTTTTAATAATCCATGTATTTTTACTTGGCTTTACTTTCATAGAAATCTAATTTTCTTCTTAATTTGTATGGAATTGTTGTACACAACAACCAGGACACGTCCTAGGAAATAATCTGAACATAAACTTGTAAAAAACAAAGAGATACTAGTAAGACACAGTGGAAAAAATATAAAAACCCATAAGCAAAAGTCCAGCTAACAAAGAGAACAGTGCACAACACACCCGGCAGCCTGAGCTGCTGCTGTGAAGCCTATAAAGTGAAGGTCAGATGCTGGTATGGGGAGGTCAGAGGAGAGCACAGGTTTAGGGCAGAGGAGTGGAAATAAATCGAGAAGAGACATCGACATCCTCATTTTCACATGAGAGCCACTTCACCGTCTGTTCAGCTAGAGACCCAGAGGAGGGAGGGACGAGCAGAGGGAGGGACAACGAGACGCAGACATCACTGTCCAGCTCCCAGTCTGTCACCTTGTGTGTGCACGGAGGATTTAAGAATTAGACAACCAAGAGGGCCGTAGCTCTCCAGGCTGACAGAAACATTTTCTATGAGAACTTCAGATTTTGCTCATAAAAATAATGTAGCATGGTTCTCATGGTGCCCTCATGGTACCACGTATGACAGCACAGCACCTCGTTTACAGGTTTACAGTGCCTACATCCTGATTATTTCTATGGTAAATCCACTGTGTGCGGCACTCGTGATGTATTTCTGTCAGTCCTGGAAGGCAGGACTCTGCTCTGTCCATTGCTTCCAGTGCTTTCCACTGTGATTTGGGTGTTGCGTGCTGCACACATTGCAAAGCCCCTGGAGGCAAATTTGTGTTTTTCAATACTGGGATATAACAGTTTATTTGACTCGACCTACATGAGGACCTGACTTCAAATCAAATTTATTTATATAGCACTTTAAAAACGACATCCAGCTGACCCAAGTACTTTATATGGCAGAATAAAATCACAATAAATGACTAAAATAGAGTAAATAAGATCAGTGCAAATAAAAATAAAACAGCACAATAACACAGACACACTGTTAACATATGTTCAATAAATTAAAATTAAAAGGAATGCACCAGGCCCTACTGTGTATTAAAAGCCAAGCCAAATAAATATGTTTTAAGCAATGATTTAAAAGTACTGAGGTCAGTAGCTAACTAACATTAAAAGGTAGACTATTCCACAATTTAGGGTGTGCAACAGTAAAAGCATGGTCACCCCAGCATTTATATCTGGCCCTTGGAACCTCTAAAAGAAACTGGCTTGAAGATCTGAGCTTGTGGGTGACTTCACTATACTACACATCTGCTCAGCTGCATCCTGCAGATGTGCAGCATTAACTACAGAGGACGAACACAACCGACACTCTGAAGGTTCACAGGACAGAGGTTGTCATGTGAAGGGGCAGTTGGAAGTGAGTATAGTTTGTGAGTGTGAGGAGACGGAGGTCCAAATGTAAGATTATACCCTGTGTACACGGGCTAAGCAGTGGAAGCTTCCCATCAGCAGCAGCGTCACCATGAGTGTCACACTAAATGCATTCAGTCACAGCACTAGGTAGTCCGACAGCGCTCAGAGGGACCTGCACAGTTCCAGTTGTCATGCATGCCAAGACAGAAGAAAAACATGTCAAGTCACTTCAGGCTACTGTACAGTTCCCAGGTCCCCCCGGTACGAACCAGACTCCGCTGACGCAGCGGGTGGACAGCGCCCGAGGCATGATCTCTGAGCCCTGCTGCATGAAGCCGCCCACCGGGAACCACAGGCTGTTCCCCAATGTGTACTGGTTCTCCAGGAAGTCCCGCCGCTCCCGCAGGCATGGGTGGGGGTTGTACCACTCGTAGGGACTGAGCCTGGACAAAGGACAGGAGAGACCCATCATAAAGAGCCAAGACCAGCGACAGAGGATAGACCCCCCTCCAGACAAAGACCACAGTGACACCCCTCCACCCAACATGCTGACTCCATAATGTTTCAAAATTAAAAAAACGGTGAACTGCCTGAATGTTTGTGACTCTTCATCCTGTGCGTTACTTTAACTTACATTAAGAGACTGAGTTAAAGTGTTGAGGTAGTAAAGAGGAGAAGGTGAGAGAGCGCCAGAAGTCGTACTCCACACGCAACAGAAAACAACATAATGACTGCTTAGAGGCTTCACTGGACTGTGAAACGATCATTTTAATGTCTGTGTGAACGAGAAAATTACAGGTAGAAAGTGAGATAGAAAATTGGCAGAGAGACCTGCACTTCACAATGAGAGCAGCGGAGGTTCAAGTCATTTTTTGATGCCATGAAGACAAACGGACACTTCTCAACAACAACTTTTAACGAACCCAGGACCCTTCCTCTCGGCCTTGGGGCAAGTGTTAAACCAACCACTGTGAGAGACGCTCAGAGAAAAGCAGGTGTGTTACCTGGCAGCGAGGAAGAGGACGCAGCTGACGGCCAGGTAGGCCAGGAGCATGAAGAGCCAGACGGCCGGAGAGAAGGGGTCCAGGAAGGAGAAGTAGCCTGGTTTATGGCTCTGAAACACACACACACACACACACACACACACACAAAGCTCTGTCATCCACTGTCCTAAATTCAACTTAACAAGGGCCAGGACTTTTCCTTAGGCAGCTTTAAAGATAATATCAAGCATATCAGCACACATCACACCAGTAAACTGATGTTTCCCCCCTTTTGGTCTATCTGTGGCTTTTTAGAACATTTTGGATCAGGTGAGTTCGGAAGAGGTCTGAAATTAAAAAATATAAATATAATTTCAAATAAACAAAACTAACATGTTTTCAGTTAGAAACAAAACACTAGATCATTCCACTGAACTCCTGTATGATGCTCTGCAGTGACGTCACTGCAGCGAGATGAGAGGTGAAACCACTGGGGGTCAGCAGAAAACTATGCTTTCAGACATTTGTTGTCTCTTCTGAGTGTTGTGAGTCAGTGAGCAGGGCCAGTTAATTCATTAGAGGTTTGTACACATGTTGCATATTCTGCACATTAATGGAAATGTTAGATTATGTCTCACAGTTGATGAGGACATGTGACTCATCCTCTGAATGGCTTAATTCACTGTACATTTTCACACATCCAGCCACACGAAGTTTAGATTCAAGAAAAGGAAAATCATGAAGTTTAACACTAGTGGAAGTGCTAATGCCTCCAGCTGGCAGCAGCGAGTTGTGGTAATGACCATCTGCCAGTCACATCGCACACAAAACTGTCAGCAATCTCGAGCTGAGAAGCACAGCCCTCTCTATCACACCGGCAGCCACACATTCTACTGTAGAAAATTGCACTGTTGAATTGGAAGGCTTCCCTTTTCCTTCTTCTCCCCTCAGTTTGTCAGATTTCCTCCGAGTGTCAAGCTACAATTCAAACAACACAACAAACCCGATAAACCAGCAAGGTGCAGTTACAAGCCTTCCAAGTGTCACTTCATGTTCCCTGGCGAGTCGCTTCCCATCAGCCCTTTTCCTCTTCGCGTTGTTTACGACCCCCACCCAAGTCGAGGAACTCCCAGATTGGACCCAATTAAAGCAGATGAGTGGAGCGGTAATGGATGCAATCAACTGTGCTTCTGTGTGCCGTCCATTCTGGCTTGTTCTAAAAGGCCGTGCAAGGCTGGCGAAGCACCGAAACAATTTTCTGAGTCTGCTTTGCAGCACTGAAGCAACCTGTCCTGTGTGGAGACCTGGATCACATGCTAAAGAAAGACAAGTTCAGGTGACAGCAGGCAGATCTCATCAGCCACCATGGACTTTATTAGATATCTCTCACACCTTCCGAGTGACACCTGGCCTCCAGTGTGGCGGTAATGCAGCTTTTTGCCTTTTCTTTTCTTAACAGGCACAGTCAGCAATAAACAAACAGCTACATTAAACTAAACCAGAGCAAACTGGCTAACCCCGCAATGGCCTCCTGGCTGCTCCAAAGCCTAGCATCAGATGAAACAGCACAAGCACAACAAAGAAACTAGAGACTAGGGCCGACAGTCATGTTAGCCCTGATCTGATTTCATTTTCACTGATCTAAAACCTGTCAAACTTTAATTTAATTGCTGTACCAGTGCACAGGATGCCCTCTGTAACAAATACAGACTTGTTTGTGGAAGTTTCTCTTTAATCTGAACAACAAAGAAGAAGAACCACCAACAGACACTCCGACTGCACCACCTCCTGCATGTGTTTGCAGTGTTTCCCATCAATGTTACTTTTGTACTAGACAAATAACAGATGTAGCTCAGATGGCCACAAGCCTCCTAGTCCGATGTCGTGTCTGAGAGGCGAGTTTGTTTAGCTCCGTCACCGATCTGTGCAGGAGCTTCCCACATTATTCTAAACAATAACACCATGTTCCCTCTCGAACGCAGCCGGTATCTTGCTGGCGATGATGTCACAGCTCCTTGTACATGCTGTAGTAAACAGTAGCGTATCAGACACAGAGAGATAAAACACTGAGCACTAATGAAGCAGCAGCAGCCGACATAAATTTACCCTGTTCAGCACCAGGGGGCAAAAACGCTGATAAACACGATGGCACTTCACTAATATGTGTACATAAGTCAACAGCTTGAGCAATAAAGAAGATTACATCTTTAAATGTGCTTTCAAAGTATTTAGATAGAAGCTGCATCTGTGAGTGTGTCAGTGTTTTACTCCCATAGCTTCAGCCCTGGCAGCGGAGCAAAGCAGCATTTAGACTATTAAACCATGCAGGAAGACTCAGGGGGACAAATTACTGGCCGATTTCACCACTGATATACAGAACTGTGCAAAAGCCTTAGGCCCTTCAGATGTTTGGTCCTGATCCGTTGCCCTGCAGCCTGACATTGAGCCTGAACATCCAGTGGCTACAACTCATTATTACTTTAGTAATAAAAAACTCACAATCCAAATCCAGCACCCTCCCCCTGTACACCCTCCTCTCTGCAGACAGGTAAAAGGCCCTGACCCCTCCACATATAGCAGTAGTCCAGGACAGAAACAAAGTTGGGGAAAGTGAGCGATTGTCCAGATGCACTGTGTCAGCTGCTCTGTCCTACATTAACAGAAAATATGTTTGCCGATGGTCAACAGCACAATATACGGACATGGGAAACGCCTAAAGGGAGTTCCTGCTTCATTCAAACAATCCAGCTGAGGGCTGGACCATGTTTTAACATGGAGAAGCTGCCCACACTGCAGCAGGCAGCCTGTCTACCCTGGGGCCCGTTACCAGGCTAAGGCAGTCAGTCTTGTACACATCATCAGCTGCATGACCTGTTAGTCAGTTTATCTGCTGTGCACAACGGCCACCAGTGCAGCACTTGATAACAGCAGCCTGTGCTTAGTGGAGTGACTTTACGACGCCTCCAGTTCAGACTGAACCAGGAAACTGTCGCTCATCAGCTTGGCACTGTGACAGCTTAAAGGTCCGTTACTCTCATATAAAATGTCCTCTTGGTCAACTTAATCCTTAAATAAACACTTAAGGAAATGAAGCTGGGGCGACGTCGCCGTGTGAGGACGGCCTCGGCACAAATTAAACAGCTGAGTGATCACTGAGTCGATACACTGAGGCTCTGGCGGCGGACTGGATCAAACATGGACGACAGATGGCGGAGGTGAATACTGATGAGCTGCAGGCAGAAACTGCAGCACTTCATCAGCCTGCCCACATTATGTTTTAATGGTAACCACAAATAAATATACTGTATGTTCTATTAACATTTACTGTCGCTGGCAAAGCCCCACGTTCAGGCTGCTCACACCGGTCTCACTGTGCCGCCCCATTTAAAGCCTTTCAGTGACTACAGCTGCTCGGCTCTTCAGTCCTTAACGACAGACGTGCCATGAACATGCACTGGTGTCTGTCTGGCTCGCCCCGAAGACTTCACACGGAGCTGTCAGTGTCTCGCACATAACAGCTCTGAGAAATACCTTAGAAGTGCTTCATCTTCAAAGTTTACTAATCCATAATACACAGAATAATGACCCTGTGGTGGACAAGGCAAAACAGAATGAAACATTAATGAGATACAACGGGAAGAACCCTTAGGACAAATCACATGAGATATGACACCTGAAATCTGTCTACATTTTCCTGTTGATTGATAAGTGTGATTCTTCCAGCATATGTTGTTCACAGCCAGTGTCTCCTTCAGTCTATCAAATCCCAGCAGCCGCCTGAAAGCAGCATATGCTGATAAATCTGCAGCCTCTGATAGGAGCCCTCTGTGATTCTCTTTTGTTTTTTATGCTTGAGAAGCGGCTGTGATTTCCCTGACATTCTGCTGTCACATTAAGACTGTGAGGGATGAAGAAACTCGGAGCTACAGCGGCATCACAGTGGCATCACAGCTTCTTGCAGGGTTTTTGTTTTGTGTTGCATCAGGTGTTCACTCCTGATGTTCGTCCATCACCTTCAGCTGCTGTTAGACACAGGAGCAGAGCTGTCCTCGCTATCTCTATTCAAGCAGCAACAACTGAAAGGACTTTAATCAAAAAAGCTTCAGAGAGTTAAAAAAAGGAAAACCATTAGTGTTCTTCAGAAACTTTTATGCCTCCTTCACTCTGCCTCCATCAGACACATAAAGGACTCGCTCGCCTCTCTGCAGTTCTTCCACCCCAGTGCCCAACCGGAGCTGTCCCGTCATAGGAAGTGGAGGAGCATGAAGCCGATGCTTTAGATTCCAATCAGGGCCTCAGAGTCACCGATCCTCCCTCAGCGGCTGAACAGCTCACATTTTTCAAGCTGCAGCTCCTGTCACCCTTCACCCAGCCGTCTCATATCCCCTCTCCTCTCCAAAACAAAGGAGGAAGAAGAAACCTGCCCTCTATCTGTGTCCTCAGCTGTGTCCACCCAATCCCCACGTGTCATCTCTATGGTTGCAGGGATATTTGCTGTTGCTTCATCGTGGACTCACATTTTGACTAAGTGACCCAAGCTACTGCTGCCTCCAGTAGCACAGCTCCCACTGAGGAGGTGGCTGCTGCTATGGCTGCAGCATTTTCTCTCTCAATTCATCAACTCGTCAGGCAGATGGAGAAAGAACAGAAAACGTCAACAGGTGCAAATACTCTGTTGTTCCATTTGTGAAAGTTTGTGTCGACTCTGCAGGACTATAAAAAACAAATGGACCTTTTCACAGCATCTTCACAATCTGATGTGGTAGAGAACCAACAGCCTGCAGGCCTGGCGCACAGCTACGTCCTCAGATTCATTTGCCTTACATAAGCATGTACACTAGATAAGTGTTCTTTTTAAAGGTCCAGTTCACCCAAATCACAACAAATACTAGCAGCAAGACTATTCTGTGTCTATTAAAACATCCAGGTGCAGAATGTCCTTTAGCCAAGAAGGACTTGGGTAAGTGTGGCATCCTGTGTGGTGTCACGGCCTGATCCTGCTCCTCCCTCCACCATTAACCCATCAGTGACCACACTGCCACGCTGGCTGTTCCTTCATCACCACGAACACACACACTGCAGTTTACACACACCATCCGGAGGCCACTAGAGAACAAATGTGGATTCATCTGCTGCTGAAAACAGTCCCCAACAAGTGCACCATTTCCCCAGCTTGTTGATAAAAACACACTGAGCAGCTGTTTTAGAAAGTCACTCAAGTCACTGTGTGTGAAGTGTTTTTAAAATTTATGTCTTCAGTACAGACTATCGGGGTCGGAGCTGAGGGCCACAGACAGAAGTCTGAAAGTGCTGACAGAGATGGACCAACACACTTCCCAGTGTTTCATTCCTAATATAGTTCAAGCGCCAAAAGCACTGTATGCTTCCCATAATGCACCCTGATATCTTTTAGGCCTACTCCTTTCAAACTGGATGCCTCTTTGTGACGGAGGGGTCCTGTCAAAATGTGCATAGTTAAGTCAGGAAGACACATCACTCACAGACGGTGACTTTCTGCAGAGGACATCACACAACACTGTTTTCACGCTGGACAGATCTAACGAGGATTAGCAGACTCATTTGTAAAATCAGTACCACAGGCTTTAAAAAATAAAGCAGGAGAACAGAGCCATTAAGGTGAGCGGTTTACCAGGTGAACTCGGTAGAGGATGCTGATCCCCAGAGTCATGAAGGGTTTGGAGAAATCGATAACCTTCTCTCTCTCTGAGGTGATGGTGAAGCCGGCTGCTGCCAGGTCTGCTTTCTACAGACACACAGAGAAAAGAACTGATTTAGCAAAAACAAATGCTTCACTTTTTACCTATAAATGTCACTGTTACATGACATGCAGCGCTGAGAGGAAGAGGCAGAAAAACAATGACTGACTATTGAAAAACAGCTCATTAGATTTTAAACCAAACAAATATGTTTTAAGGGGTTTTGCAGATGTATCAAAAACCAAAACATCCATTCCCTCCTTTCCAAAGGTCTCCAGAGCCTCTGCTGTGGCTCCACACTGTGCTCAGGTGCCTCATGTTGAGACGCGTCTAGAACCTGTGGCAAACTGACCTGACCGGACACACACTTGTGTGTACAAGGTCTCACAGTTCACACTGCAGGCCAGGACACAACCTGTGGTCAGACTGTGGTGAGGCCCAGATCAGGACCAACGGATCAAACCATGTCTAAAGGTCTGAGTGTCCCCAGGAGTACGGTGGCCTCAGTAACTGTGACGTGGAGGAAGTCTGGAACCAGCAGGACTCTTCCTGGAGTCACTGTCCGACCAGACTGAGGAACTGGGCAAGAAGGGCCTCGGACAGGGGGGAGACCAAAAACTAACCTAACTTAGAACAACAGCAGCACCCTGGTGTCCTGTTATATTGTGTAACTGGTAACCTTTTGTAAAAACAAACAAATACATAAATTCAGTCTAAATCACTTTTAACAGACCAGGGATTTCCAGGTAAAAAAAAAAATCTTTAAATATGTTTGATGAAAACATGGAATAAAGCAACAAAGCAAACAGTCCCTGTCAGTACCAGGAGTGCAGGAGTAAATTAAAGTGTATCCCAGCTTGAAACAGGACCAGTCTGAGCTCCATGATTTACCCACAGAGCCCCCGCAGGAACAAAAGCATATATCAGGTGGTTTTAGTGCAGCACAGTCCCCTGGGAGCCGCACACTAACAACTCACTGTTAACTTATAATGCATTCAGCAACAACCAGGCCCTCGGCAATGACTTCTGTACAATAAAAATCAATATTTCATTAAAAGCCCCAGAATCTCTGCACAGAGGGTTCAAACACTTGGAACAATGGCGTGGCTTAAGCGCGGCCCCCGTGGTAGAAAACGGCGGAGTTCAGGGCTGTAATCAGAGATGACTGTTTAATTGGAGTGGCCCGGCCACTTCACAGTATCAGAATATCAGTCAGGGCAGACAGTAATCGCTTTCTGCACTAATGCTGCAGCAGAGAAACCATTAACCTTGAAAACACATCAGAAGAAGGTTACTTTGCCTGGAGGTGGTCCAGGACAGAGGCGAGTGGGGAAACACTGCAGGAGAACAAACACGGAGCCCAAAGCAAAGAGTTTATTAATCAATAGCACAGATGCTGTCGGCCTGAATGAGCTAACAGCATGGACACAGGCCAGCCTCCTCAAACCGAGCAGCTCTAAATCAGAAATCAGAGTCCCTCGTAAATCCACCGATGGCTCTTCCTAGAAATCGACAACACATTCTGCCCCCTCCCACACCTGAAACCTCGGAATGATTGCTGATCCCACACGTTCATGTGAACTCCACACTGACCATACAGTCGAAGCACATTTCTTTCTTCCAAAACAAACAGCCCGCCTCTGACCTCCTTGGTCACTTTCAGCTGCAGGTGCACTGATCCGTGCTTTCCTACATCCAGACTCATTTCCTGCTGCTGCATCCTCCATCGCTCACCCTCAAACCCCCCAATAAAGCGTAAAGCCACTGGTTTTCTCCCTCTGTCTCATTCCCCTGAACACAACACCCCCATTAAAGTGTAAAGCCACTGGTTTTCTCCCTCTGTCTCATTCCCCTGAATACAACACCCCCATTCCGCTGACCTCCACGGTGCAGCCCCTGCGACCTGCTCCCACACCCCCATTCCATCCCTCATGAACTGGGGATGAAGGGGCCTTCTCCATCGCTGCCCCCGATAAGTCCCTCTGAGTGGACACTGTAAATTCTTATATTAGCAAACTAAGTCTCCTATAAATAAAATGTGGCAATGAAAAAAACTTTTGTACAGTTGATGAGAAGAGACAAACGTGTTTCGGTCTTGTTCTAACTGAACCTCCTACGTGTCTCACGGAGAAAAACAGCTTTTAAATGTTTCACATCTGACTGTAAATTTAACCCTGTTGGTTAAAAAGGGCGGACTGGAATTAAACTTGAAAGATAATCTCATTAAGGTTACGTCAACAGAGAGACACAGAGCGGAGCGTTTATCTGGACCCCAGATGCCTCCCCGCTCCTTAATTAACACTTAATTGATTAACGAGCAAGCACTTGTTCCATGAATTTCACCCACTTTCATCAGACTCCTGGGCCTCAGACAGAGTGAGGCCTGTGTGAATGTGTGTCTGACAACGTTCGGCTGTTGTAAGAGCTTCCGCCTCAGAAGTTTCCAAAGAGAGACAAAGGTTTCAGAGAGCGAGGGGCAATCGAGGTAGGGAAGCAACAGAAAGAGAGAGTGAGATGTTTGTGATTTTTAACACTTTTACATAAAATGCATAAAGAGTCTCTGGCTACAGATAAAAGTGTGTGTGCACCTCCTAGCCTCCGTACATGTGTGTGCACATGCTGGCGGATCCCGCAGTGTAATTGCAACAGCTCTGTATAATTAGTAAAAAAAAAAAAAAAAAAAGCATTTGATTAGCCTCCTAATGGTCTGGCTGTGTTTCCCATTTCCTCTTTCTGCCACACACAGTCATCAGCCACCATCACCATTATGTGTGTGTGTTATTAACAGTGTCAGACAGGAGCCAGCGATGTGACAAACAGTCTCTACATTAGGTGAACCTCACCGCACACACTGGAGAGGACCTGCAGTCATCTCATACACTTTCTAAATTTAAGTCTGACCCTTGAAGAAGTGAGCATGGCCTTAGTTTTTAAAAAGGAACTTTATGTTTCGGTGCCAAGAGAACACAGTTCACCCACCCAGTAGGTACCAATACGTTGTTGTATTAATTAGTATTAGGTAGTAGCATCGCTACGCCTGTTATGTTCTTACAGTTTGGAGCCATCAAGAAGTAAAGGGACACTGCAGAGACGAACAAACTCAGGGGGCAGCCACAGACCCCGGTGAGAGACAACCATGATTTAAAATGCTGCTGTGCTGGCTCTTAGCCCTGGTCCAGGTTTCCAGTATGCGTTATACAGACCGACACAGTACATCCTGTTACAAGGACTGACAGCAGATTTGTCTATATGTATTCTCTGGTGTCACAAAGAGCCGGTAAGGAGATTCCAATAACTAATAACTGATAAATGACTTCCTAGTCTGCAAATCAACTGCATGTTGAGAAGGAGAAAGAAGCATCTTGTACCTCCGTCATAAGGAGCTCTTACTGTGCTATGTCTGTGCCATGCAGCTTTAATGAAGAGACACCACAGTTAACTGCTGTGATTGAGCAGGTAAAGTCCCTGGGTTCATTTTAGTAACAGACCCAAACAGGTCAGGGGTGAAAGTACCCTAAAATACAAGGAACAAAGCTCTACTGGTCACTGACCTTTACCAGTGTGTGCTCCACACAGCACTGAGGTGCTACAGGTCAGTGTGATTGCTGGTGACTGGATGCATGGAAGCTGTATAATCTTTGTCCAGCTAAATAACACACTTACTGTGTTTTATGACAATAAAACCTGTTATGTAACCTGAGCCTACATAGACTGCCACACTGTCAGGTAACGTCTCCTGACCTGATCCCACTAATGCCAAAGCTGCATGTCAACAGGAGGAGCCTTTTCTCAGGCCTGTTCTGTCAGTAAACTCCCCTGAAGTGTCACCATCACTTCACAGTTTAAACCACTACAGCTGAAATCAGGTCTGGGTGACTGAAGATGAGCCGACTAGCTAACTGCTACAGTGCAGAGACATTCGACTCCTTATCTAGCAAACGCTGCACTGACGGGTCTTCACTGTGGACAAGCAACAGATAAATGATTTCACTCTGTGTTTTGCAGCAGTCATTGAGTTCAGGGGCGACCATACAAAATATTTCACACCTGAACCAGCATACTGAGCGAACACATATGCACACTTCAGTGAATGCTCTTGTGCTACTGCTGTGTTAGTTGTTATAGCAACAGGTGGCGGTGGGTGGGCCGAGGGGTCTGAGAGGTGGACTTTAAGCTGCTGACAACGATGGCACCCTTAACTGCAACACAAGAGTCAGCCAATTACACAAGTGGTGGAATGCTGGAAAGCTGCTCAGCCCCGAGCTGCAGAGATGCACACAGACACTGAGGAGGTATTAAGTGGCTCAACTGAAGACCAATTTAGTTGTTTTCTCAGGGAAAGTGGCTCATTTTAAGTCAAGTTGAGTCTAATTAAAGCTGTGTACTGAGCTGCCTGCAACAAAGCTGTGAGAGGAAGCAAAGACGATCAGGAGAAGCGCCAGCAAGTGTGTATCTGTGTGTAGGTGTGTGTCCTTGCAGTCTGTTTTTGTGGGGACTGTTGTGAGTTTCAGACCTGAATAGTGAGCACAGCTCGTCCGGTCCTTGTTTCCTTTAGAGGTTTTAGACTTCTGTTTGCACTTCTGGGCCATTTCCATTTTTATTCTGGTAAAGTGAGGATATGTTTTAAAGTAAAAGCATTTTATTGAAAAGTGAAGGCTTTTGAGGAACAGGGACAGTTTTGGAAAGTTTTGTCCAGTCCTCACTTCACAAGTGGAGTCGGAGGTTAAGATTTGAGTTCAGGGCTAATGCCGGGATTACCAGACACCCAGAACTACAAGCACAACTCTGATCAAATGTAAAAACCAGCAGGAACCCAGTGTGCCGCTGCCCAGTTCAGTTGTCTGACTCCCTGGACAGGGGAGGCCTATTTTAATTGGCTGGTTCAGGTAAATGTTAACAGAACTTCATGTCAGATGCAAAGTTTTACTTCCAGAAACATGTTCACCCTTTTTCTTTTTTCATAATGTGCACATGTTGTTTGGAATATGGATCAATTCTGTGTAGTTCTTGATGATAATGAAGGTCTGAACTGACTTATCATCCTGGGCCCATATGCACAAACATCCTGAGACAGACTCTCACAGAGCTTTTCACTTAGCCCAAAAACCCCTAGCGAGGAGTCCTAGCTTAAAGTGATTTAGGAGACACCACCACCTCAGAGCAACTCTGAGCAAGGAAATCACACAGTGTGCCTGACCTTGTTGCCAGGCTGAACACCACACTGCCGACAGAGCCCTGCAGTCCCTTCTGGTCAGTTCTTCTGATACCCCCCACTCACCCTGTTGATCAGCTCTCCCACCATGCCAGTCCAGCTGCCATTGGACTCTGGAGCTCCGTACAGCCCGTCGTCCACCAGCTTGATCTTGAAGGAGAACTTCAAGATGTCGGCCAGCTCCCGCAGCATGTCCACGCAGAAACCCTCGTACTGGTCGTTACCCTGGGCATCCTGGTAATTGGACTTTCGCATCACGTACGGGTTTTCCTGTCAGAAGGGAAGTGACAACTTATAGGAGATGTTTCAAAGGAGGACTAACAGAGACTGAGACTTCATGCTGGATTACATATACATATGTTTTTTCTTTACCAGTATTGTGGTAACAATGAGCGTCTTGTTAGCCAGCGTCACTGATGCATTGAGGTCCAGGGAAGAGGAGTTCATGGCTAATGTGTTGTTAGAGTACCAGGTACCAATCTGTCCAACCAGAAGGAAGAACAACACAAAAAGTTAAGAAAGAAAGAAGAAGAGGTCAGGGAGAAGGAAAGGAGATAGAAGATGGAAAGCACCAAATAGCCTGGTTTTTAAGGTTTACCTGTGGTGGACAAACCAAGGGAGTAACAAGGAGGTGAACGAGGGCAGAAGGTACAGTGAAACAGTAAGGACAAAGGGCAACAGTCTAACAGATAGAGCTCATAAAAGTGGGCTATGACAGAAAGCCAGAGGCAGTGAGACAGACAGGCAGAGGGAACCAAATCAGCCTGCCTGGAGAATCGATGCTGAAATCGATGAGGGAGGATCTCGCTCCACCTGGCTCATCCGGCACCTTTAATAAGGTCATAAATACAAAGTCCGGCACGCAAACAGCCATCTGCTGATCTAACACCACCCCCATCACATCCCCTGACCTCCTGGCTGTTGGTTGTATCTGTGGAGCTTTTACCCAGGGAGCAGTCTGATGAAAAGCAGGGGCCCCTCCCTCCACAGCTACCATCAAAAACTCATCTACCGCAGGAAGACTCAGGGTATCCCATCATCCTCTGCTCACTTAGATCATTGCATCATTTCCCATCTGAATTATTACCTTTTTGTTTACTTGTTTTGTTAACTTTTCTCCAGGATTTCAACCGTGACTTCAGCGCAAAGGCCATTAAAGTGCCTGTGTAAATCCAGTGAGAGGCACCCCCACATCACACTTAGCTCTGGCCTTAGAACGCATCTAACCCTGTGCTGATCTCAGGTAATCGCTGACATTTTAATGCTTATCAGAGGTCATAAACACTCAGCTGAAGCTGGCCACTGGAAGGACACTGCCAGCCGATGCTACATGGCTCTACATTTGAATCCTGACTTTTTTCAAATCACTTGCACGACTTCAGTGGTTTTCTTTTTACTTGGTTTCTGGGCAGTGCTGTCAAGCAGTCACATGTTCAGCCTGTGGAGATGATTTCTAACGTGACCTCTGGCCTGTCTGCCTCCTGCTCGTTCCCATTTAACCTCTGACCTCTTTGTGGCCCCCGGGGTGTTTCTCCAGGATCTTCAGGGTGTAATTGGTCCTCTGACCTTTGCTGTTGAACTCAATGTGACCTGTCAGACCATCGTATTCCACCTGATAAGACAAGCAGAGACCAAAATAAGTTATTAGATGACGCCCAGCCAGCAAGCTGCCCCAGTCACAGGCCCCTCTGCAGGTAAAGCAGCTAATCAGGGCACTAAGTTCTGCATCTACTTCTAGTCAGACTCTGACCAAACTATTGAGTTCACCAGGTCAGTGAGCCACTGCAGCTGACAAAGACTACGTTCACAGTGCAGGTCTTAATGCTCAGATCGGATTTTTTGCCGAAATCCAATTTTTTTGCGCTGTTGTTCACACTGTCATTTAAATGCGACTGCAGGATTTCAACCGTGACTTCAGCGCAAAGGCCATTAAAGTGCCTGTGTAAATCCAGTGAGAGGCACCCCCACATCACACTTAGCTCTGGCCTTAGAACGCATCTAACCCTGTGCTGATCTCAGGTAATCGCTGACATTTTAATGCTTATCAGAGGTCATAAACACTCAGCTGAAGCTGGCCACTGGAAGGACACTGCCAGCCGATGCTACATGGCTCTACATTTGAATCCTGACTTTTTTCAAATCACTTGCACGACTTCAGTGGTTTTCTTTTTACTTGGTTTCTGGGCAGTGCTGTCAAGCAGTCACATGTTCAGCCTGTGGAGATGATTTCTAACGTGACCTCTGGCCTGTCTGCCTCCTGCTCGTTCCCATTTAACCTCTGACCTCTTTGTGGCCCCCGGGGTGTTTCTCCAGGATCTTCAGGGTGTAATTGGTCCTCTGACCTTTGCTGTTGAACTCAATGTGACCTGTCAGACCATCGTATTCCACCTGATGAGACAAGCAGAGACCAAAATAAGTTATTAGATGACGCCCAGCCAGCAAGCTGCCCCAGTCACAGGCCCCTCTGCAGGTAAAGCAGCTAATCAGGGCACTAAGTTCTGCATCTACTTCTAGTCAGACTCTGACCAAACTATTGAGTTCACCAGGTCAGTGAGCCACTGCAGCTGACAAAGACTACGTTCACAGTGCAGGTCTTAATGCTCAGATCGGATTTTTTGCCGAAATCCAATTTTTTTGCGCTGTTGTTCACACTGTCATTTAAATGCGACTGTCATCTGTCTCATGTGTGAACAGTATACGGCCCTGAGGTGACCCGCATGCGCAGAAGAGGACGTGACGTCAGATGCAGCGTACTGTGTTTGCAAAAATAAAAATGGATGCGGCTCGTGATAGCATGTGCGTAGCAATGTACCAGTTAATATGCAGTCAAAATAAAGAAATAATAATAAGAAGAAGAATATCAAGAAGAAGGAGAGCACAAATATTGCTTATGGCCTCGCCTCCTCCAGCGCAGAATTGTGACGTCTGTCGCATTTCAATGACATAAAAATCGCATGAAATGCGACATGGCCGTTCAGACTAAAGTCGCATTGCAAAACATCGGATATGTATCCGATTTAGGACCACATATGAAAGTGGCCTGGGCCTGATTTGAAAAAATCGGATTTGTTCTGTTCACACTGTCATAAGGAAATCGGATATGGGTCACATTTGGGCAAAAAGATCGGATTTGGGCCACTTCAGCCTGCAGTGTGAACGTAGTCTAATATGCTCCTGGTTGGTTAGTATAGCAGCCCTCAGCACACACGCCGCAGTGGTAGGAGAAGGCCTGGCATCACCAAGCCTACACCTCCACATATTGTGTCTTTTCTGGTTTGACAGGCATTTATGAATGAAAACCAGCAGGGACACCAGTGTCTGACCAGCTGTTGCAGAGAGAAAATGTTTGTAGCAGCTGAATCAGAAACTGTAATGTGACACAAAGAGAAAGAGACAATTATTGATTTTCAAAGAACATTTTGAGGAGGAGAAAATATGAAGAGAGAAAAACTGGGTTTGTATAAGAAACAAAAAGACAATATCAGACAGTTATCAGATCAGTGACAGAGCTGCTGTTTCTGTGTGTGTGTGTGTGTGTGTGTGTGTGTGTGTGTGTGTGTACTTGTATAACTACATGGTGAGGACAGGATTTTCACCATGGGAGTGAGGACGGTCTGGCTGGTCTTCACTTTCCTGCACAGGACTGGTTAGGTTAGATTAGGGCTGGGTTAGCTGTGATGATCAAGGTGCTAGGGAATGCATTATGTCAATGAGCACCCTCACAATGAAAACAGGACCCGACTGTGTGTGTGTGTGCGTGTGTGTGTGTGTGTGTGTTTGCAGAATTGTGTCAATGAGCTGAGACTTGTGTGATACATGTGCAGTCAAGCGTGCATTTTGTGCCTGAGTTTATGTAAGCAATGTGCAATTGAGTCTGCATACAATATGAATGTGTGTCCGTGCGTGTGCGTGTGCATGGGTCAAGTTGAATTACACTGTAAAAAGTCTGTGGTGAGAGAGGCAAGGCAGAAATGGACAGTGAGAGAGGTCTCTGGTTGCTGCCAAAAACATTAGAGAGATGATGAAATGATGCACTGAGAGCAACAACAATATGGAGCAGGAGAGGGAGACGTGCCCTCAGTGGATGGGAAAAACAAGAAGCGGCCGACAGGCAGAGCAGGACCAGAATAAATTAAATGAACATGGAAATGAAAGACAAATGAAAGAGTGAGAAAGGGAAGCATGCCAGACAAACAGAGAGAGGCAGACGCCCCTTCCCTTCCCTTCCCTCTCTCTCTCTCTCTCTCTGTCTGTCCAGCCTCAGTCCAGCTCTGATCTGCAGCCTGCAGCAGGTGGGAAAGGAGCCCGGCTCGCCACGTCAAAAATTAACAAGTCTTCCGGTCTAAACAACAAAACATACTCTAGTGTGCAGCGTCTCCTTCCAGTGTGTTTTTATGTCAGCAGGACAACAGTGCTTATCATTGCCTCTTAAAAAAATAATGAATGTACATCTGACTGTTGGGGTGTGTGTGTACCATGCGCAGGTAGTTCATGAGGCTGGTTCCATGCTGCCAGATGAGCGGGGAGGTGCAGCTCAGCGGCTACGTCGGTTCAGCTCCCGCACGGCACTCACCACCACATGGACTGCATCGAACATCAAGGCCGACGACAGCTGAACACAAAGACAAAACAGTGAAATAAACTTCACCCTAAAATCCCAGCTTCCTCTGGCATCTTGTGTATAACATTTCAAAGTCTTAGACTTGAAACAGCCTCCTTCAAGGGAAACTAAAGGGGTTCAAATGTTTTGTCATAGCAGACTGAACCCCTTCAGTTAAGGGCCATAATCATCACAATCAGTTCATTATAAATTAAAAACATACTTAGGGCTGTTTCCAACTTACACAAGAAACTTCAGAGAAAAACTAAATATTATACGGTGAGAGAATGTTAATTTAGTGCAGTGACGACAGCGCCCTCAGTGACAGAGACAAACTCTGCTGTCGTTGTGGTGTCTGTCTGCTCAGGTGTTATTAATCTACTGATATCACAGCTGCAAATGAGACAAACAGCTCTGAGAAGATTGATTTGTTCTGATGGGCCTGTTTGCCACAGAGGAGGAGAGAGACGCACACCAATAGAATTAGAAGAAAGAAATAAGGCAGCACTACAACTGCACACAGGATGCAATCAACTCTGAACCTGCAGAGATGCTTCTGGACAAGACCGCACAGCTGGGTCTTTAAGGGGCTACAAGCCAAAAAGGTTGGGGAACACTCATCTAGATAAAAATGATGCTGTGATAATTTCATGAGCAAAAAGTATGAGTAGAAAACTAGTGTATGTTGGCCTGTTTCTCATGATGAAGACAAAACAAAAACTAAACATAAAGTAACTAGAATGACCTGACCTTGACCTCTGACCTCCAAAATCTAAGCTGTTCATCCTTGAATCCAGGTGGATGTTTGTGTGCCTTTTTGATTCTCCACAGTTTTTAATCTGCAGCTCTTTTCTCTCCAACAGAAAGTAAACATTTCCCTCACCGCTGGTCCAGGGTACGGGCTGATATTGCAGCCCTCCCTCCATGACAGGTTGAGGCTCCTGATGAACTCCAGGTAGAATGGATGGCTGCTGTTTAGCATGGAGAAGCCCACGATGTTGGACTGATCGCCCACCACGCCATCCAGCCGGAGCAGAGGGAAGTCCTGGAGACAGAGAGGGAGGATGATGATTGGAAGAAAAGAACGGGAAGTTCCATCTTTCCACCATCTTGTGTGATGTATGTTAATTTGTTGAAAGGAGTTGTGAGATGCAAAAGCAACTTTATGATCACAGTGGGGAGAAAACCCTCAACCAGGATGAAAGAAAAGCAGAGAGAAGAGGAAACCAGAAACAAACGATGAGCTTGATTGGGGTTTTCTTTTTACAGGCTACACAACGTCAAGCTCAGTTTTTAAATTCAGAGCAGGGTAACAAAGAAAAAAGGCTTGTAAAAAAATTTGACATCAAATGCTAGGGAATTTCAAAGAACTTCAAACAGTCCTTGAAGGCGAGTTGGTGTCGCGCCGAGCTCTGCTGCTGAAACAAACCAGAATGTAATTGTTGCTCAGCCCTCGGAGGGTTTGTGTTTCCTCTGCACATACTTTAGTTTTAAAAGCAGAGGAAGCAGGCAGGTTTCCATTTACACAGGGGCAACAACCTTCTGGTACAGACTGACAGACCAAACAGTT